ATACCAAAGAGAAGCAAGCAAGCATGCGTCGGCAAACAATGCCACAACCCACGATTAGCGATATACCGGAAGCAACCATGGAAGCACAAACACGCACTTACGCACACGAAGTCAACAGGGTGGCAATGAGAATTCCAGAATTCACGCCAGCCGATCCAGAACTGTGGTTCAGCATCCTGGACCGTAATTTCCAAGCAGCAGGCATCACATTTGAGGAAACAAAATTCGGCCACGCACTCACAGCACTTGGCCCGCAATACACCATGGAAATACGCGACATAGTGATGAATCCTCCCGAGGAAAGGCAATATGAAACGTTACGCACCGAGTTAATAAAACGCCTGAGTGCAACACAGGAGCACAAAACAAGGCAACTACTCGAGCACGAAGAAATAGGCGATCGCAAACCATCGCAGTTCCTGCGGCACCTGCGCAACCTAGCCGGAAAAGTCGTAGGCGAACAGGTCGTAAGAACCATTTGGTTCAGCCGTCTTCCAACCTTTCTCAAGCCACATCTAGTCAGCAAAACACAAGGCACTCTGGACCACCTTGCTGAAATGGCAGATGCGATTTTAGACGTTACCAGAGACCTGGCATTACAATTGGCTGAGGCAACACGCAACACGCGAAGCAACGCGCCAGCCGACTATAACACACAAATACAACTAGCACAAATGCGCATCCAACAGGATGAGTTGAAGCAACAAGTCACAACCCTTGCGCGCAACATAGAACGCATGAGCCTACAGCTAGACCGCGCAAGACAGAGAGAGTCCTCACGGAACCGATCTCGTTCGAAATCATCCGAAAGAGGGACCGCCAATACAAAGTGCTGGTACCATCGACGATACGGTACAGCAGCCCGTAAATGCGAAGCACCCTGTTCACACCCAATACAGGGAAACGACACGGCTCGCCAGTAAAGGCGGTACTGGGCACGGGCCAAAAAACACGCCGCCTGCATGTCACTGACGTCAATACCAAAATTGATTTCCTCGTGGACACGGGAGCAGACTTGTGCGTATTCTCACGCAAACTTCTTCGTGGACTACGCAACAAGTCCGCATACACTCTCACAGCCGCTAACAACACCATGATTGACACGTATGGCATGGAGACAATCACATTGAATCTTGGACTCAGAAGAGCCTTCACCTGGAGATTCATGGTAACCAATCTCGACAAGCCGATAATCGGAGCCGACTTCCTTGCATACTTCAATCTAATGGTCGACCTCGCCAACCAACGTCTCATCGATCAGACGACGGGCTTAGCGATTCGGGGCAAGGCAAGTGACGACATCACGGTGCAAATCAAAACCGTCCAGGAATACACTCCATATCACAAACTCCTAGCGCAATACAAGGAGATCACGCGCCCTGAAGGCCGACCAACCGAGGCAAAGCACCAAACGCGGCATTATATAGCGACTACACCGGGACCACCGGTGACTTGCAGGCCGCGCAGACTCGCTCCAGACCAGCTCATAATCGCAAAAAAGGAATTCAACAAGATGCTCGAGCTAGGCATAGCTCGCCCTTCGAGCAGTCCTTGGGCATCACCACTACACCTGGTGCCCAAGAAAAACGAAGAATGGCGTCCATGCGGGGATTATCGAGCGTTAAACGCTAGAACCATCCCAGACGCATACCCGATTCGCCACATCCATGATTTTGCACAAGCTCTCGAGGGCACAGGCATCTACTCCACGATTGATTTGGTGAGAGCTTACCACCAAATCCCAGTCGCGGAAGAGGACATACCGAAGACGGCCATTACCACTCCCTTCGGACTATACGAGTTCCCGTATATGACATTCGGGCTACGCAACGCTGCACAAACCTTCCAGCGATTTATGGATGAAGCACTCAGAGGGCTAGAATTCTGCTTCACGTATATCGACGACATACTCGTCGCTTCACGATCAGAGGAAGAACACCTACAGCATCTTCAAACGCTCTTCCAGAGACTCAGCACGTATGGCATCGTCATCAATCCATCCAAGTGCCAATTCGGAAAGAAGCAAGTCGAATTCCTCGGATACCTCATCATCAAGGAGGGCACTCAACCACTCCCCTCTCGCACTGAGGCCATCCAAAGAGTCCAGCCTCCGAAGACCGCCAAGGAACTTCGACGCTACCTTGGTATGATGAATTTTTACCGGAGATTCATACCAAGGGCAGCAGCAACACAGGCTCCACTCAACGACTTGCTCGCCAACAAGAGAGGCAAGCAACCCATTGAATGGTCTCATCAAGCGCAACAAGCATTCGAACAGTCGAAAACAGATCTGACGCAAGCCATACTATTAGCACATCCAAACGGGCACGCTAAACTAGCAATCTTCGCCGACGCATCAGAATCTAGCGTCGGAGCCGCCCTTCAACAAAAACAGGAGGAAGATTGGCAACCACTAGCTTTCTTCTCCAAGAAACTCTCTCCCACTGAGACTCGTTACAGTGCGTTTGATAGAGAACTACTGGCTATCTATTTGGCGATCAAGCATTTCCGGCATATGATCGAAGCCAAGGACTTCGTCATATACACGGATCACAAACCTCTCACATTCGCCTTCCGACAAAAACCGGACAAGTGTACTTCAAGGCAGTTCCGACACCTCAGTTACATCAGCCAATTCACAACCAAAATAGAACACGTAACTGGCAGCAAAAACATAGCCGCAGACACCATGTCCAGATTAGAAGCCATACAATCGGGGATCGACTTTGCCATACTAGCAGACGCACAAGAGACCGATCTGGAAATAAAAGAGTTCAAAACCAACAAACACGGGTTGCAACTTCATAAAGTCAAAATACCTGGGACTGCGCTTCAATTATGGTGCGACACGCAAACAGACACACCACGTCCGTACCTCACTAAAGACTTCAGGCGAACGGTATTCCTGAAAATACACCAACTAGCGCACCCAGGAATTAAGGCAACAACTAAACTGGTAACTCAACGATTCGTGTGGCCAAGCATGAACAAAGACATCCGCAATTGGACGAAAACATGCCTGGAATGCCAGAAATCCAAAATCACCAGACACACAAACAGCCCATGGGGAACTTTCAAACCTCCTAGCAGACGATTCGAGCACGTACACCTCGACATCATCAGCCTACCAGTATCACAAGGCCAGAGATACTGCCTCACATGTGGACAGATTTACTCGGTGGCCCGAGGCCTTCCCCATGGCCAACCAAGAAGTGGAAACAGTCGCCCGTACCTTTTACAATGGGTGGATCTGTCGATTCGGCACACCCCTGAGAGTCACAACTGACCAGGGAAGACAGTTTGAGTCGCAGCTTTTCAACCAATTGGCCGCATTCACTGGCACCACACACCATCGCACAGCATACCATCCACAAGCCAATGGTATGGTGGAACGCTTCCACCGGCAACTCAAAGCCGCCATCCGCTGCAGAGCCAATCCGCGGTGGACGGAAGAACTACCAACTATCCTTCTTGGCATACGAGCAGCTCTCAGGGAAGATCTCCACACTACTATCGCGGAGATGGTATACGGGGAATCCCTACGCCTACCTGGACAATTCCTCACGGAATCGAACAACCCACAACCAGAGGCCGAAGCTGATTGGCTCAGGGCACTGCGGCTACTCACCGACGCATTACGCCCGATTGAAGGATCCAACCACTCTGCGCAACAACCATTCGTGCACCAAGATTTGCGGACATGCGACTACGT